AGATCAATGGAACAGAATTGAAAGCCCAGAGATAAAACCACACATCTATGGACAGCTAATCTTCGACAAAGGAGCAGAGGGCCTACAATGGAGAAAAGAAAGTCTCTTCAACAAATGGTGCTGGGAAAACTGGACAGCCACATGCAAAAGATTGAAAATTGACCATTCTTTTTCTCCACACACCAAAATAAACTCAAAATGGATCAAAGACCTAAAGATTAGGCCTGAGACAATAAGTCTTTTGGAAGAGAATATAGGCAGTACACTCTTTGACATCAGTTTCAAAAGAATCTTTTCGGACACTGTAACTCCTCAGTTGAGGGAAACAATAGAAAGAATAAACAAATGGGACTTCATCAGACTAAAGAGCTTCTTCAAGGCAAGGGAAAACAGGATTGAAACAAAAAAACAGCTCACTAATTGGGAAAAAATATTTACAAGCCACTTATCCGACAAAGGGTTAATCTCCATAATATACAAAGAACTCACACTGCTTAACAACAAAAAAACAAACAACCCGATCAAAAAATGGGCAGAGGACATGAACAGACATTTCTCAAAAGAAGATATAAATATGGCCAATAGACACATGAAAAGATGTTCATCATCGCTAATCATCAGGGAAATGCAAATCAAAACTACACTAAGATATCACCTTACCCCCGTTAGATTGGCAAAAACATCCAAAACCAAGAACGACAAATGTTGGAGGGGTTGTGGAGAAAGAGGAACCCTCATACACTGTTGGTGGGAATGCAAACTGGTACAGCCACTATGGAAAACAGTATGGAGATTTCTCAAAAAGTTAAAAATAGAAATACCCTATGACCCAGCCATCCCATTACTGGGTATCTATCCTAAGAACCTGATATCAGATATCTCAAGAGTCCGTTGCACCCCTATGTTCATTGCAGCATTATTTACAATAGCCAAGACGTGGAACCAGCCTACATGCCCAGAAACTAATGATTGGATAAAGAAGATGTGGTATATATACACAATGGAATACTACTCAGCCATAAAAAAAGACGAAATTGGCCCATTCACAACAATGTGGATGGACCTCGAGGGTATTATGTTAAGCGAAATAAGTCAGTCAGAGAAAGACGAACTCTATATGACTCCACTCATAGGTGGAAATTAGTATATTGAGAAGGAGATCTGATTGGTGGTTACCAGGGAAAAGGGGGGGTGGGGGGAGGGTACGGAGGGGGAAGTGGTGTACCCACAACATGACTAACAAAAATGTACAACTGAAATCTCACAAGGTTGTAATCTATCATAACATTAATAAAAAAATAAAAAAAAAAAAAAAAAAAAAAAAAAAAAAATCACATGATCATCTCAATAGATGGAGAGAAAGCATTGGACAAGATACAGCATCCATTTATGATAAAAACTCTAAGTAAAATGGGTATAGAAGGAAAACATCTCAATATAATGAAGGCCAGATATGACAGACCCACAGCAAATATCATTCTCAATGGAGAAAAACTGAAAGCTATCCCTCTAAGAACAGGAACCAGACAAGGACGCCCACTTTCAGCATTCGTATTTAACATAGTATTGGAAGTCCTAGCCAGCACAATCAGTCAAGAAAAAGAAACAAAAAGGATCCAAATTGGAAAGGAAGAAGTGAAACTGTCACTATTTGCAGATGACATGATTTTATATGTAGAAAACTCTAAAGAATTCACCAAAAAACTTTTAGAAATAATAAATGAATACGGTAAAGTTTCAGTATACAAAATCAATGTACAAAAATCAGTTGCATTTCTATACACTAACAATGAAGTAGCAGAAAGAGAAATTAAGAATACAATTCCATTTACAATTGCAACAAAAAGATTAAGATACCTAGGAATAAACTTAGCCAAAGAGGTGAAAGAATCTGTGCCCTGAACACTATAAAGCATTGTTGAAAGAAATTAAAGAAGACACAAAGAAATGGAAAGATATTCCATGCTCTTGAATTGGAAGAATTAGCATAGTTAAAGTGTCCATACTTCCTAAAGCAATCTACAGATTCAATGTAACCCCTATCAAAGTTCCACTGACATTTTTCACAGAAATAGAACAAAGAATCCTGAAATTTATATGGAACAACAAAAGACCCTGAATAGCCAAAAGAACACTGAGAAAAGAGAACAAAGCGGGAGGTGTTACATTCTCTGATTTCAAATTATACTACAAAGCCATAGTAATCAAAACAGCATGGTACTGGCAAAAAAACAGACAAACAGATCATTGGAACAGAATCAAGAGCCCAGAAATAAACCCACACAACTATGGACAGCTAATATTCAACAAGGGAGCCAAGAACATACAATGGAGAATGGAAAGTCTCTTCAATAAATGGTATTGGGAAAATCAGACAGCCACATGCAAAAGAATGAAAGTAGACCATTATCTTATACCAGACATAAAAAAATAACTCAAAATCGATTAGAGACTTGAATGTAAGACCTGAAACCATGAAACTTCTGGAAGAAAACATGGCAGTATGTTCAACATTGGTCTTAGCAGCATATTTTCAAGTACCCAGTCTGACTGGGCAAGAGAAACAACAGAAAAAATAAACAAATGGGTAACTAAGGAGCTTCTGCACAGCAAAGGAAATCATCGACAAAACAAAAAGACAACCTAACAATTGGGAGAAGATATTTGCAAACCATATATGTGATAAGGAGTTAATATCCAAAATATTTAAAGTACTCATAAATCTCAACAAAAAAAGTAACAACCCAGTTAAAAAATGGGCAAAAGATCTGGATAGACATTTCTCCAAACAAGATACACAGATGGCCAACAGGCACAGGAAAAGATGTTCAACATCCCTAGCTATCAGGGAAATGCAAATCAAAGCTACAATAAGATATCATCCCACTCTGGTTAGAATGCCTATAATTAACAAGACAGGAAACAATAAGTGCTGGAGAGGATGTGGAGAGAAGGGAACCCTCATACACTGCTGGTGGGAGTGCAAACTGGTGTAGCCACTATGGAAAACAGTATAGAGATTCCTCAAAAAATTAAGAATAGAGGGGCTGGCCAGAGTTAAGAATAGAGGTGCAGCAGTTAAGTTCACATGTTCCACTTCAGCAGCCCAGGGTTCGCCAGTTCAGATCCCGGGTGCGGACATGGCACCGCTCATCAAGCCAAGCTGTCTCAGGCATCCTACATATAAAGTAGAGGAAGATGGGCATAGATGTTAGCTCAGGGCCAGTATTCCTCAGCAATAAAGAGGAGAATTGGTGGCAGATGTTAGTTCAGGGCTAATCTTCCTCAAAAAAAAAAAAGAGAACAACAACAAAAATTAAGAATAGAGCTACCATACAATCCAGCTATTCCACTGCTGGGTAGAACATGAAAACAGGAATGCGTAAAGATACGTGCACACCCCTATGTTCATCACAGCATTATTCACAATAGCCAAGACTTGGAAGCAACCTAGGTGCCCATGAAGGGATGAATAGATAAAGAAGAGTGGAATATATACACAGTGAAATACTACTCAGCCATAAGAAACGATGAAATCTGGCCATTTGTGACAACAGGGATGGAGCTTGAGGCTATTATGCTAAGCGGAAATGTCAGAGGGAGAAAGTGAAATACTGTATGAACCGTATGATCTCACTCATAAGTAGAAGATAAAAACAACAACAAACCAACACACAGACACAGTGATTGGATTGGTGGTTACCAGAGGGGAAGCGGGGAGGGAGGAGGGTGAAAGGGGTGATGAGGCTCATGTGTGTGGGGATGGATGGTAATCAGTCTTTAGGTGCTGAACATGATGTAATCTACACAGCAATTGAAATATAATGATGTACACCTGAAATTTATATAATGTTATAAATACGAAACCAAAACCAGTTAACAATGGAGAACCACAATTCCAGATTATTTCACCAAGCTCTTTCAGTCTGGCTGGGAGGGGCTGGGCGGGAAGAAGGAGAAAGGAACAGGAGAGCCCATGCAACACTCCCCTGGGTGAGAGTGAGGCTGGATCAGGAGGGTGGGAGCCAGGTGGGTTCATGGAAGGGTTATTTGAAAAGAGAGAGGAGACATCGCAGGGCCCAGACACAGGATTTTCCTCCTGTTTTACCTCCTCACACTGCCTCAGCTCTGTTGTGTATAAAATGGGAGATAAATCCTACTTCATTGGCTACTGTGAAGTTAAGACATCATACATGCCAATCACCCCATACAGAGCTGGCACGTTTGAAGTGCTTAATAGTCACTAGTTATTATTTTAATTAATAACAATTATCATTATTGTTGATGGTGATAGGAAAATATAAGTTCAACCATATTTTAATTAAAAAAACTAGGACTTCAGGGGCCGGCCCAGGGGCGCGGTGGTTAAATTCACGCTTTCTGTTTTGGTGGCCTGCGGTTCGCTGTTTCAGATCTTGGTGCAGGCCTATGCACCACTTGTCCAGCCATGCTGTGGCAGGTGTCCCACATATAAAGTAGAGGAAGATGGGCATGGATGTTAGCTCAGGGCCAGTCTTCCTCAGGAAAAAGAGGAGGATTGGTGGCAGATGTTAGCTCAGGGCTAATCTTCAAAACACAACAAAACAAAACAAAACCCTAGGACTTCAGTTAAGCCTTTATAAAAACTTATAATGCACTATAAAATATAGAATATAAATTTATAAAAATTATAAAATTATAAATTTTATATAAAATATAAACACCTTTCAATGCACTATTCTGGGTTTGCAATAGTGACATTCCACGCCCCAGTGACAAACCTGTACCCCTGTGGAGTCCTGTGGAGGGAAAAACCTTTGTAAAGACCCAGGGGAGGAGTTGGGTGTGTCCTGTCCCTGAGTGAGCTATACAAATGGAACCTGCTGACCTGGGTTGGGTTGGGTTGGGTTGGGAGGGTGGAGTTTATTTGCTGTTTCTAGGAGGTTGGGGCTTCACTCCCTCAGGTGGGTGGGGACCTAGTCCAGAGCTAACAGGAAACCACGTGAAAATTCTCCCTCGGGGCAAAGAGCAGGATGTAGGCCTGTGTACACAGTGGGGTGGCAGCTGTTAGCTTTGCAACCGCTGGCATGGGATTTGAGTCACAAGCCTACACTGTACTTTGGAGCTCCCTTCTGCCCTCGGAACTCCTGCAAAGGGCTGTGCTTCCTTGTACGACGATGAAGAGAAAAGGTCCCCAGCAGTCTCTTACAGACAGGTGCTCTCCTGGGGGAAACCCTCCCTTAAGAGTCACTAGGGGCAGTTGGGGTTTGGGTCAGAGAGGGCAGATGGGCGCTGTCAGGACTGGCCTTTGGGACTTTCTGGGGGTTGAGGGAGGAGGACCTCTGATAGAAACTTATCTTCTCCTGAAGTTTATTTAAAGCCAGACAATCACCTTTATAATGGTTGCTATTTATCAGCTGCCATATGCCAGGCCCTCAAACACTTTATCTCATTTAATCCTTAAGGAACTGTGGGCAGGGGGCATTATCAATCCTAATTGACACGTGAGGGCTCTGAGACCTGGAGAAGCTAAGGAACCTGCCCCATCGTAGGTGGAGGAGATGCTGGACCCCTGGGCTGGAGGAATGGACCCACCCCATAACTTTAGGAAGAATTTGGGGCAACATATTTCTTTAGACTTTTCCTTCATCGATATTTTTAGGTGACTTCCATTTAGGTGAGGCTTTAATTTGGTTTTGAAAGAAAATACTCTAATGTATCCGTCCTTGGTGAAGGTGCAGAACAGTAACACTGCCCCCCTGAAATGGAAACAATCTTGCCTTCTCCCTGCGCTCTTGCAGCCTGCCGCTTTCTGTTTATGAACATGGCAACCCGCCTTTCCTTCTGCCTGGGAATGTGATGGCTCCAGTGTTTTTATTTTTCTAACTCCTTGTGATAACCTTGGGCTGGGGCATTATGTACTCGAAGCTCGAGGCTAAATAAATCAGCTCACATCCTAGAGTCCCTGTTGTCACCACATTGGACATTGAACTTGATGGAGTCCCTTGATGGAAACCAAGTGTGAACCCTGGGGATGGGATTGCACAACCCAAGGAAGGACAGTCAAGGACATGAAAATAATGTTTGGCTCGGAGCCCCGGAATGGAGTCGGTGAGTCCTCGGTTGTGTGTGACCTGAGCCCTCAGCCGCACTCGATCCAGGGCTGGCTGCTCACTTTTTTTCTCTTTTCTCCTGATTTCTTCGCCATCTCTCTCTCCTGGTTTTCCTCTCTCCTCTTGAGTCTCTACTTCTCAGGTTCTGGTTCCTCCCTCCTCGACCCCTTAGTGTCAGAAATGCCCAGGAGCAGTCCTTGGTGGTTTCCTGTGCCCTGTGGGGTCTCATCCAGAATCACGGCTTGAAATATCCTGCCAGTTTGTAGTACCAGCTCAGCGCTCTTCTCATCGACCCGCGCTATGACTGTATGTTCTGCGTCCTTGATAATCCGCTGGGATTTCTAATGGATATCTCAAATTCAACATGATCAAAATGGAACTTCGGCTTTATTACCCTCACTCTCCCCCCAAATCTTCTACCTGCCGTCTCCCCCGCCTCAATGAATATCCCACCTTTCCTTCTAGTTGTTCAGGCCACAAATTCAGGAGGCATCCTCTACTCTTCTTTCCATCACACCCTGCGTCTAATTGTCGGGAGTCATCCGGCACTACCTTCAAAATTAGCCAGAAGCTGACCACCCACTTCTTACTCCTCCACTGCCACCTGGTCCTAATCACCGTCATCTCCCACCTGCCCTAGCCTCCTCGCTGGTCTGGCCACCACTCCTGTCCTCACTGTCTGGTTCTCTGCCCAGTTGCCACAGTGGTCCTGTTAAAATATGTCACACTGTCACTCCTCTGTTCAAATCTTGCAATGGTTCCCATAGGAACCATGTCTAACAGGGACCTGCCAGGCCCTCTGTGATCCCTACAGCGCCCCTCCACCCTCTCAGGTGCGCAGCCTCGATGCTGTTCCAGGGGATGCGCAAGTGTGCTGCGCCCTTAGGGCCTCCTGGCTGCCTGTTCCCTCCGGAATGCTCTGCCTCTGGACAGAAGTGCACTCCCTCACTTCCTGCGAGCCTTGCTCAGCGTCTCCATTTCTAATTGCAGCCAGCTCCCTTTCTCCTGACTCTGGCCCTGGGCATTTTCTTCCCCGCCCTTACCCTCCTCTGCTTTGTCTTCTTCCAGCCTTCCTTCCTTCCTCCGCCCTCCCAGCCTCCATCCTTCTCTTTCTTCTTCCTTTTTATCCTTCGCACTGTCTGAGGTTCACTGCCGTGGATGTCTTCTATCAACCAGGCCTACTGACTGCAGAACCTCAGGCCCAAGCATCTCAGGGGGAGCAGAGAACCTGCCCAGGGCCCAGCGGAGACCAGCTGGGGAGGCTGGCTAACACTTATTGGGCGCTCCCTGTATACACAGGTTTAGACGCTTTACCTTTGTTATGACATTCCTAAACCATCCACCCCATTTCACAGGAGAGGAAACTGGGGAGCAAAGGGTTAGGAAGCAGCCTGGAGAGGAAGTGGTGGGTAGGTAACAGGTGTGAGCTGACTTTGTATCTGAGAGTATTAGACATGATATAGAATCCTCTACAGGCTTAAAGCCTCAGGGCTTTCTTACCGTGCATCTCTAGAGGATAGGAAGAATAGACTATTCCAACACCTGAGTAAAATATTTACTGCATGAAATTGTACAAGATTAAAATCGCAGTAATGTAGGGCACGATTAACAATATCATCACAGGCTTCACTACAACTCTCTGGAGCTCTGCCAGAGTGACAGGAGCTTTGCGTGCATCCCAGCTCCCACTGCAGCGAAGGTCCCTTCCTCATTGCTGCCTCGAAGGCTGGTGCTTCTGCAGGGCCGGCCTCGGTTCCTGCCGGCCTGCTCCCACCCTCCTCGGGTTGCCGGAAAGGACCGGGCTGTTTCCCCGACAGAGTGCCAGGGGGGCTCGGTCCATCCTTCTGTCTGAGAAGTGCTCCCATGTCCTAACGCACGTGGGGCTCCCCACCACCCTGTCCACGGGCACCCCTGCCCTCCTCCCTCACATGCACACATCACTCCACACCACACACACCACACATACCACACACACCATATCACACACCACAAACACCACACACACCATGTCATACACACACATCATGTCACACACACGCCACACCACACACTCATACCCACCACACCACATACCATACACACACACATCACACGGGCACACAAGCCGACAGTCCATTGATGGGTTATAGGCTATGCTCTCAGAGTGCTGGCGCAGGTTTTCCCTTGGCTCCACCCAGTACTCCAACCGGCAGGCGCCTCCAGAATAAAAAGAAAGACGGTTCTGCCAAGAGCATCAGCGGGGACGGTTGCTCTGACCTCCTCTGGGCACTTGGGGTCGTGGTTTGGAACACGAGTCTCCCTGGGGATGAGAACCTACGGAGAAGCCGCCCCATTTGCCCTGCAGAGGAGAGGTCCAGTCCTGCCCCCAAATCTGCAGCCCGCTCCCAGTCCCATTTCAGCAATAGCAGCTCTGCCATTGAACTTGCATGAAATCCCTTGAGTACACGGGAAATGAACAGTGTTTGTTTGTCCAAGATGAATCTACCCCCGATAAGAATGTATAAACCTTGGGCCATGTTTTGTCTGCAAATGCTTCTCTCCCTTTCCCAAACACTGGGTGGACAAGGGCCTTGGAAGGGCCTGCCAGTTGGGCAGTTCTGGCACTGTCTCTTTAGCTTGCAGGTTTGGTCTCCACGGCTGAATGCTCTCCAGGTTCTTGTCTGCAATCCACCTTCAGAATGGCAGAAACAGTTGAAAATAGCTTAAGTGACACCTGGGCCAGTTTATGAGCAGGTCCATCCTGGGAAATCCCTTTTGTGGCAAATGTTCTCTTTCTGCAGGGTCCACAGCTTCCCCAGGCGGGGGGATTATGCTTGGGGGTCCTTCTTAAATATGGATGCGCAGAGCAGATCAGTTTGGATAAGTTCAGTCCCCGACTGATTTTTCCTCCCCTTGAATTAAACTTTTTTTTTTTTCTGGCTGGAATATTCTGAAAAAGAAAAAAAAAAGGCGTATGTTGGTTTGTCTGCTGTGTGCATTTCTTTCAGCAGAGTCAATGAATCCGGCTTTGTTCGCTACTACAAGCCCCAGCTTTTATCCCCCCTTCCTTGTGTCCCTGTGTAGCACTGTACCAGGTAATGAAAGGATTTTCCTTATATTACTGTTCTTTGTTTTCAAGGAACAACAGAGAGCGAGTATTTCCAGACAAGTGAGGAAATTCCCAGAAGCTAGCGGCCAAGGAACGTGAATCCTGGAGAACAGGCTTGAGATGAAGAAAGGATTCCACATCTCCTACGAAGCTGCTGATTTTCCTTCCTCCCTCAGCAGCGACCCCCCCGAACTCCCCACTCACAGGTGTGCACAGGGTCATTCTCCATCCCCAGCCACCTGAGCCTATAGGAGCCGAACTTCCAGACCCAGCTCAGGATGGAGCCTGTTAGGATTGGACAGCCCTAGGGGGTGCCATTCCTAGCACAGTCCGCGAGGACCCTTAGGGTTGTGCAGTCCACACTGAGTTCTGGGAAGGCCTCATCTGCTTTGTTTAACTCCTGGCTCAGAGCCCTATCGAAATACCAGTCTTATCATGCTGATTAATAACGATCCATTGACCTTTTGGAGTGAGCAGCTTTGACCTCCCAGCCCAGCAGGACCCTGAGGGAGAGTAAGGGCTCTTGCAGAAGAGACAGCCCCTGGGGAAGCCCAGCAGCTCGTCCTGCCCCCGCCCTCAGGAATAGTCCAAGTCACCAGCTCCTAGGGGCCGTGTCGGCTGGCCCCACAGCTCTCTCTGGTGTCACTTGCTTCATTATCCTCTCCTGGCAGGGTGTTCCAGAATATAAAGGTGACACTGTAATTGCATTCATCTAGCAGAGTCGGATCCATTGAAAATAGCGAGAGGGCTGACAAGTTTTGGCAGCTGCGGGCTCACAGATCACGAAGTAAGGAGGACAAAGACCAAGTTTTAGGATTTTGACCTAATGGCTTGATAGTGTTTTCTGAGGTAGGCCGGGTGTCTCAAAACTCCTTCTGTTTCATGACCTTTGCTGGGCCAGGGGCTCCTGGTGCTCCTGTCCGCTGCCCAGGGAGGTCCCCTACTCAGCTAGTGGTATCCATCAGGGTCCAGGGAGGGCCCCTCTCCTGTCTGGGGAACCTCTGTGCACTCTGTCCCCCTTCATTCTTTTCCACCTTCCTCCCTCTCATGATTGTCACCCCATCTCCCCATCCTCATCTTTCCTCAGCCTCCAGTGGGGTTATTAATCCCCTTCTGGTGGCACTCAACCCGCCACGATGCTGCCTCCCAGCTGACACCACCAATGACAGCAATGACAACCGCTACAGGAATTGCTTTCCAGGGTTCCAAGAAGGTTTCAGCTGCACGACGCCCTTCACTCCTCACAATAGACACGGGAAAATGGGTAGATTCTAGGTTATTTTTCTAAAGATGCATGTATTAGGTTATGGTATGCATTTGGCTTTTTTGAGACATCACATATTTGAAAAAAAGATTTTTGTTGTTGTTGACCAATATACAATAAAGCTTTTTAGGGGGTTATATAATCTACACTACTTCTTTACCATCACAAAACCTGGGAGTCGAATGTGAATATAATAACACCATTTACTCTCATTTTCTCTTTACCGCAGGGTAAGAATAAATACCTTGCATTTTTACTGTGTTTTCTGTTTTTAAAAAGCCCACATTCGATTCACAATGTAACTGGATTGTCTCTGCAATCTTTCGAGGTAGGAGGGGCGAGGGTTATTACCTCTAGTTTATGTACTGAGGAAACCGAGGCTTACGTGAGCTAAACGATTTGTTTGGAGTCACAAATAACTAGTACATAGCACAGCTAGAATTGGAGTTTAGATTTTCTGACTTTTTCTACTGCAGACATCAATTTCTTTCCTAAAATTATGGTTTCTGGATGTAGATACAAAAACCAAGAGTGCACATGTGTATATTCTCCCACCGCCAAATGCAGCCATCCCAAGACGCCCCCTTCAATGCTCGTTTTTCAGATGTCCTGCAGGACTCAATCCCTTCTCTGACCCTCAGCACACACCTTCCACTAGTATTTCACACTCTTTTCTCCAGTTTGTTCCACGGAAGCTGATAGATTGACAGGCACAGTCTTGGGTGGTTCCATTGTCCCTGGCGTGGCCCTGGGGACAAGGCTGGTGGCAGAATGCAGCCTGGCTGGACTCACCTCGTGACCTGGAGAAAGAACCTTTCTGGACAACTTTTCTGAAGGATAAATGAGAGCAGCCACATAATTTGATGATTTGAGCCTAAAGGAGGGAATCATTGTGACTGGTTTTCCTACTTGAAGCCCCGGTGGGGGAATTGTCTCAGCAATACGGCCCCTTTTACTGGACAGTGACCTTGATGTCCTGTCCACCCAGAGTGTCACAGAGCCCCGTGTGCTGTGAGCTCCCGGCGGAGGGACGGGGCCCTCGGGGTGGGCGTGTCCGCTGTAGGCTCAGCAGATGAGGACCCCCAGCAAGCCCAGGAACCCCTGTGGGGCCCTGAAGAGCCGCGCCTGTGCTCAGGAGCCCAGAAGATTAGCTCAGGGAGGAAGCCAAGGTAAAAACAGGAGTGATGGCTGCTGGATCCCAGACACACCCGGGATTGGGGAAGGAATGAGGGAAGACGGTGGAAAATAAGGAGGAGACTTCAGCAAGAGTCCTGGGGGAGTCCAGCTGGTGACCGGTGGGGGTCATCTTAACTGGTCCTTGCTGACTTAGGCTGGAGGGCCTGCTTTATCCCCAGGCTCCCGAGCTCACTTTGAGATGTAAGGAAAACCCAGAAAAACCAGTTTTGTGACTGGACATACTTTCTTCTCTGATGTTTCCTCAGTGATCTCTGAGTGCTTTGCTATTGGAAATATCTATGTCACCTCCACCTGCCAGAGCTGCCTGCTCCGCCGACACCAGCAGCAGGCCTCGCTGTCACCTTTCTCAGTGTCCTCTCTGAAATACCCTTGTCACCTTGTCCTGATCATCAGCCCAGCTTCCTTTATGCCATCAATCTCCAAACTGCAATCACTAGGATTTTTTTTTAAACTTCAGCTGTCCACTGTTTATTTTCCCACATAATGACCCTGCAGTCACATTTCTCCGGGAAGCATTAACCTGCGTTTCATCGCGATGTCCTGTGTGGGTTTGCTCCCCGTTCCTGCCTAGGTAGATGTGAAGAGTGAACATTGCTTTCTGGAGGCACCGCTGACTTGCTGGGTTCGTTTTTATAAAGGTCTGGAGGAGCGAATGCTTTCAGCATTGAGTTATAAATGGCAGTTTGGTGTCCCAGAAAGGGCACAGACTTGGAAGCCAACAAGCCTCGGAGCCATGCTGGCGCCACCACTTCCCTGAGCTGAGGGACTTTGGGTCATTTCTTGCCCTCTCTGGCCCTCAGTTTCCTCTTTGGTGCATCTACACGATAGTCCTCCCTACTGTGGAACAGCAAGACACGATGTGCTGTCGCCAGGAAGCATGGCACACAGGCCCAGAATGAGGGCTCCCCCAACCCCACCTCGCTTCCTCCGCCCTGTCTTCCCACCTCATTAGCCTGAGGCCCAAGGACACTCACAAAGGTCACAATCTATTCTGTGACTCAAAAAACTGTCAGTACCAACGTGACTGGTCCACTCTGTGTTTCATTGTGTGCAAAAGGGGAAATTCAGAAAACGTTTGCTTTTAGACTGACAGTCCTGGTGCATCAGATGTCATGGTCGTTACTGTGGTTAAATGGAAGGAGAAAGATCTGGATGTTTAACCAAACATCTGATTGAATTCTTCTCCACAGTGCCAAGCTATGTGGGCTGGGAGACTAGGAGATGGAGATGATGCGAGCTGGGGGCTGGAAGGTTCTAGACCTGATTTCAGCACCCACAGACGGAAGCCCTTCGGACAACTGTGTCACTATTGCCCATTTATGACGACACTGGAAAGGCATTTGGCCCTCTGTTCTGATGTCAGGTTTGGCACATGACGGTGGCAGTGCAATTCGCAGTGTTGTGATTCAATGAACAATTTTAGGGCAGACATGGTTCCCTCGTGGCCCCAGGCAGTCAACGCACATCCAAGCTTTCCTAATTTACACACTGGGGAATGCCTTCCTCGTGACCTGTAAGCGCTTTGCATCACCTGTCAGGCTAGGATATTGTAGAAGGCGTTACTGGCCTCTAAGTCATGCAGTTGGGGTTGACTTGTCAAAAACTAGGCAAAGCCCTTAGGCCAATTACATGGAGGAGATCACCAGAAGGACTTGCTCACTCCAGGGCAGGGCGGTGACATTCCTGGCCCAACTCTTACAGCCATGGCTGTCCCTGCAGTGTGTCCCTGCGGCTGTCTCCAGGAGTCTGCAGTGGGACTTGGAGTGAAGGTCATGAAGAGGGAAGCTGTGCTGTGGCTCCAGGGCAGCCCAGGATGGGTGGGGGCATCGATGGAGTCAGGCCTGCCTCTGTTGAAGCAACACCCTCCACCCCTGGAGGAGCCCCATGAAGCCCTCCAGACTCCGGCAGCAGGTAGCCAGACTCTCTGTGAGGGCCCAACACTGATGCTTCAACTAGAGGGACCTTACAGACAATGAAGCCCACCTTTGCCTCCAGGGGTCCTGGGAAGTTGGCAGAGGGCTGGCGTGGGAGGCGTGGGGATTATTCTACAATGAAATGCTCCACTGCCCCCTCCCTCCTTCCCCAGGAACCTCCCCCTTATATCAGTTTCCCACATTGGGCTTTTAAAGGAAGACCCTTGGCCAAATTCTCCTGGAAGTCTTGGAGAGCCCCCCAAGCGTGCCATCATTTCACTTTCACTGAGGAAGGAGGTGGAGTTATCAGGCTGTGACAGTGACTATTGCTCTCAATGAAGCTCCCGTGAAAGTCTGTGTGTTCCATTCCCAGCCAGGGGGAACAGAGGGGGTCCCTATTTATCTAGAAACTCAGCTTCTTGCTTTTTAACATGTATATTAAGGAAGAGGAAAAGAAGCCTTTGTCCCTTGGCTCCTGAAATGCAGTACGAAAGTTGGGCTGCATTGCCTTGGTTAGACCTGCCCTAAAGTTGAGGAAGAACTGTTAGGGGTTGTACTGTGTCTCCTGGAAAATCTCTATGTTGAAGGCCTAACCCCCAGGACCTGTGAATGTGACCTTATTTGGCAATAGGGTGGCTACAGATGTAATTAGTTAGATGGGGTCATTAGGATGGCACCTGATCCAGTATAACTGGTGTCCTTATAAAAGGGTAAATCGGACACCGACACACACACAGGGAGAACGCCATGTGAAGATGGAGGCAGAGATTAGGATGATGTGTCTACAAGCCAAGGAGCATCAGAGATTGCCAGTGAATCCAGAGGCTGGGAGACAGGATGGAACAGCTTCTCCCTCATGGCCCTAGAAGGGATGAGCCCTGCCCACACCTTGACCTTGGACTTCCGGCCCCCGGAACTGTGAAACAGGACATTTCTGTAGTTTAAGCCGCTCAATTTGTGGTGCTTTGTTCTCACAGCTCTAGAACATTCATACAAGAACCCTGACTTGGGGGGCAGTTCTGGGCCCCCATGTTGGTCCCGGGGAAAGTGTAAAGGGTGTGAGAATCTGTACTGCCTTGAAGCAGGGCCAGCCTGGCCAATGTCTCAGGCCCCAAACACTAGTGCCAGAGGTGTGTAACACGCTCCTGCCCCTTTGACCAACCGACCCCAGCATCTGGGTGAGGCAGGGGTTTCTGGGTTTGTGGGAAAGAAAAGATCCCGTATGGCAGAGGCTGAAATGTTGTCTGGTGGCTTCTGGTCCTGAAACTTCTGGATCAGTGAGGGCAATCTCTCCTCCTGCTGGCAGGTGTAGGTAGGCTTCTGAGTAAGATTTCTTTGGAAGAGGAGACTCTGTGGTCGAAAAAATTTGCACACAATTGATCCAAAGCCACCCACGTCACGTGACTCTCTGTCTTTTGGTTTGTTGTCCAGGGCTCTCTCCTTACATCTTGGGCCACTTGTCCTGGCAGAGGTCTGCCCCACTGGGCAGAGGTTGTACTGGACAGCTCCCAGCCCTTCTGAGCATGAGGCCATGCTTATTTTCCAGACTTGGAGCTCTCTCCCATCCCTCTTTGTTTCCGGAAGTGCCTTGGATACATCTGGACTATAGGTTCCTCTTCTCTTTTCTCTGAATGAAGCCACAGCCAACCATCTCCCTTGGTTTGCTTTTCCACATCAAGTTTCTAAGGTCACAATGCCCTGGGGCTGACAGCTAGCTATTTGGGAAACAGGCGGGCATTTATAACCAAATAAATATCGAAATTATCCACAAAGCAAATGTTAGTGGTGACCAACAGCACTAAGACCAAGGTCGTTGGAGACTGTGTCTTCCTGATGTTCTGTACATGACCTACTGCCAGCCTTTAGGGTTCAAAGTGCGCTGGGAAAACCTTGCTGGCTCCCAGACACGCAGATCCCACTCCAGGCTAGTCTGTCAAACGGTCCTCAGAACAAAGCAAGGAGAGGAGCATCGACTCGGACTTCTTAGAATGACTAGCGTGGTAGAACCTGGCACACAGCAGCTCCTTGA